TTCCCAGATATCCATTCTAATCCCCATATATCTTTTTAAATTCAGCTTAATCCCAGTAAAACGCCAGCTATGCTTCTACCCTTCTGGTACACCGATTTTTCCCACGTGACCAACTTTATATCTTTTCAAATTCCAGCGCCGCAGGCGAAAATTTTGAGAATTATGGAAGGCCAACAAGCCAGATTTCTTTCGTTTTCAGCGCCGCAAGCAAAAAATTTTGAGAATTTTAAAAGGTCGTCGGTAAAAAAATTCATCATTTCAGCGTCGCAGGCAAAAATTTGTGAATTTTGGAAGACCAATGGGCAAAATTTCTTCCTTTTTTCCTAATTTTAGGATCTTAAAATAGTCCCAAATTTTTGACAGTTTTTCTAAAATAGATTGAAAATATCTCGTGTCTCGTGGCAAAATACGAGATACGAGATACGAGACCTCTAAAAAACACGAGATTCACGAGATACGAGACACGAGATACGAGACTCAGCCCACCCCTGTTGTGTACATTGACCTTGACTTCCTGTTTATTAAATATATTTCAATTATTTGTTTTTAAACCAAATTTTTTATATAAAAAGTTAGAAGAAAAAATACCAGAAGATGATGATGAAGAAGAAGGTTTTGTCAGAACTAATAATAAATTTTATAAATATAAACTAATGTAATTGAAATTACCGGTAGCAGCAGAAGTTGAAGGAGCAGCAGAAGGATCAGCAAAAATTTGTTTGACTTAAAATATTTTGGAATTTTACTATTCATATATAATATGATAATTGGAAATACCAGTATTAGTGAGTTTTAGCAAAACCAATAAATAAAATTTTAGGAATATAAACAAATATAATTATTAATACCAGTAGAAGAAGAGGAAGAAGAAGGTTGTTGTTGTTTTACTTTTATTGTTTTGGGTTTAGCCTTAACTAAACAAAGTGAATTTCAGATTTCAAACAAAAAATTACCCGGCAACGGGGTGCGTTTTATTTTTGGCCGCCCTGATTACAATAGTTTTTGTGTGCCTTAAATAATTAGGTCTTTTTTCAAATAAAAGAAAATTAATTCTGGTAATGATGGAAAAGCTTAAATCTAAATTTTAATAATATTTTTTAAAAGCTTAATTCACATTCACCTGGTACACATTTGCCGTCGGCTTTATTCGTACGGCGGTAATAGATTTCGTTAATAGATTAAATAGATTTCGCGAAAATACGAGATAAGGCTAGATAAATTATGTAAAACTATGCAGAATAAATTTTTGCAGGTTTGATTTTGTGTTTGGCCTTTTTATTTTGATATGCTGTGAGGGGAGGAATGCTAATGAAAAGTGGGAAAGTGTTTTTAAAAAACTAGTCTAAAATAATAAAGACTAATTATATTAGCTGATTCTAATCAGCTCCCAAAAAATGAATCCCAAGTGAAACGAATTTACTAACTTACGTTTTGCTAATTAGTTAAATTAAAATGAAATATGTAGAAACGTAAAAATTCATATTTAGCAAAAAATTAAAAACAAACATGGTAATATCCCAACTGCCTCTCACGCCTTCCTTGTTTGACCAAGGTATTCCTTCCTCAGGTGGCTTCCAATATTAAAAATTTAAAAAGATTGAAGGGAAGGATTAAAATTAAATTTAAAAAAATAAAATAGGACAAAATATTAATTAAAAAATGATTAATTTAAAAAAATTAGAAAAGATCCCTGAAAACTTTTTATGAAAGCAAGCACTGATATTTCAACAAAAATGGGAGTGAATAGCAAAATAAATGAGGATATAAATTAAGTGGAAAATCTCTATAATGTCACATATTTGGTTTAATTCACACAGTTGGTCGATTTTGTCTATTCATAGTGGAATAGACAGTAAATAAGGCTAAACACCAAGCCTCTTCGTGAGCACAAAAAACGCTTGGGATGTGTTAAGACGTTATTTAGAGCTCCACAATAATTAAATTGTTAATTAATCAAATGTGACCAAAGAAGATAAAAAGAGAAAATTCTTGTAATTGTAGTTTAAAAACAGGAGGATCTACAATGATAATCCTTTGTCCCCTTTGTTTAGCAATGAAAAATCACTGCTTTCAAAAATATAACCACCACCAACTCGACCAGATTCGTTTAGTTATTAAACAAAATTAATAGGATGATTAATATAATACTTGATATTTTATACTTAGAAATGTTTAACAATTAAAAAATCGATTCTCCCAAAGCTCAACTATATCTCGCGAGGGGAGTTCTATTTAGATTTTAAGTCTAATTATAATATTAAAATTAATACTTTTTAATAAAAAAATTCATGTCTCAAAGTAAATTCAAATTTTCCAGAGTTAGATTTGCCTTTTATTTTTAGAAAGTTCCAGAATATTCTCTTTTTACCTTTCTCGGTTATATGAAAACTTTAAAGAATTCCAGATTAATCAAAACTCAAAAAGCATTTCAGACCTCCTTTACAAGTGCTTTACCATAATAATTCCCTGCAGGCCCGGTTGGGTTTGTAAAAGGAGTAGCTAATATAGGCAATCGTTGATTTCTGTAATAATTATCATTCATTCCGTTATTTCCGCCGCCAAAACCGAAAAGAAAACGAAAGAACCGGGAAAAGATATTCCTTCCTCCTCCGGGATTTTCGTTGTTATTGTTTTCACGTCGAATACTGCGTCTGTGGCCTGAAATTAAAGGAAAATTGAAGCTCCATAATAGGGTTGTTGGCGACCGGTTATTAACCGGTACCCTCGGTTTTCGGTTATCGCCGGTTTTCGATCCTCGGTTTTCGGTTCCGGTTTTTGATTTACCCCCGGTTTTTGGTTAACCGGGACCGGTTTTTGGACAAATTTTCATCCAGAATATCCCATTAAGATGTTGTCACATTCTAACGCTTTTAAATAAATACTCGATATACAAGGAACTGAATAATTTACAAATGTCAACAATTAGAGGAATTAAAGGTTATATAGCTAGATAAAGTTGGCTGATTTTGAATATTAGGAGGGTAAAGTGATTAGAGTATATCGATGATCGGTTGGTGGATTAATATTATTGATCGGGGGATTAAGAGGATCTTCTTTTTCTAACGGAATTTTTTAACTATTTTTTTTCAGCGCCGTAGGCGAAATTTTTTTTAAAAGTGAGGTCAAGAGGCCAGATTTCTTCCATTTTAGCGCCACAGGCGAAAATTTTTTGAATTTGGATGGTCAAGGCAAAAAATTTTACTTTTTTCTTGATCCCCCCCCCCCTCAAATTTTTCCCTTTTCGCCATTTCGGGGGGGGGGGGGGGGGGCTTTAGCCCCAGAAGTCCCCCTGGATACGCCCTTGATTAAGAGGCGTCGTCGAAATATTTGGACGGTCCGATCATGGATTTGAACCTCACCCCACTGAATAATAAAGAAAAAATCTTGATTTTTTGCGCCGCAGGCGAAAATTTTGAGAATTTTGGAAGGCTTCCATGTAAAATTTTTTGCTTTTTCAAAAAAGGTCAAAAAGAGGCAAAAGGCGGCAATGTAGAAAAGTAAGTGAAAAATTAAAAAAGTGGCAAAGCCCCCTAAAGTTGGCAAAAGGGCCACACTGTTGAGGGGTATCAATTGATTTAAATGGATTAGATTTAACAGTAGACCTTTATCGAGTAAAGTTCACCAACTAAACCACTTAACCAATCATCTCATGTAATAAAACTTTTAGAAATTATATTTAGCGAAAAAGAAAAGAAAGGAAATAATTTGGCAAACTATATTTTGGGAGTCCCAAAAAATTCCATCTTTAGGGGTGTATCTTTAAAACCGAAACCGGGCGGTTTTGTTCACCGGTTTTCGGTTATCGCCGGTTTTTGACCCCCGGTTTTCGGTTCCGGTTCGGTTAAACGTCCGCCAACAACCCTACTCCATAAGTATAACTTTAGAGGGCTTTGCTATTATAAAAATTAGGAGGCCGTCGTTCTGTGCCACATTTCCATACCTTGCTCTAGAGAATTTCCTGCTCCCGTCCTTCTAGGTATTGAAAAATATAACTGTGAAGTTTTTGTTGTATTTGTATCTACACCTCCCTCTACAGTTGCTGGCAATAATTCTCTTTCTTGTGAAGAGGAAGAAAGACTTGTGGCCTCTCCTAAAGGCAATTTTGGAGGGGCTGTTAGGGATGGAATACCTTGAAATAAAAAATTAGAAAGATATATGTGAATATGTATTTATGAGAACACCACTAGATAGGAGGGTCTCTAAAAATATTGGCCGTGGTTCAGAGTATGCGTCCAATAAAAACTTGTGAGACCAAAGTGAGGTTTATTGGACGCGCAAACGAAACCAAGTCCAAAACATTATGCCATGAAATCTAAACTTCTTAACAAATTCCAGAAGTTAAAAAGAAATATATTATTGCCACAGCGTTGCTTGGCATTCAAAAAAATTTATTCAAAAATATTCTCGTACATTGCCTAATCTTAATCAAACCCTTAATTTAGCGTTAAATAAGATAGGTTCTGTGGAGTAATACTTTTAGTCCTTTTTCAAGTGTCAGAAGTTAACATTACTTATCTTCCATTATTTTCTAGAAAATGTAATTTAGATTCAGAAAATAAGGACAAACGAAACCTTTTGGATTTTCAAGTAATAGAAAATTAACCCCTCATCCAACATAACCCTAATTATGGAAAATAAGCCTAATAAATGCCCTAATTACAGTAATATTTTCGTTATTGATGGGATATTTTAGAAGGTTGAACTTATTAAATAGCTTATTTCCCCCAGCTCCATTATTTCCAAATCTGTGAGTTAAAGCAGCCTTCCCTCCGCCATAAAAATCCTCATCATCCTCTCCTTCTTCAACATAATCGTCTTCCATTGAACCAGTACTTTGTGAAGAGAAGGAACTTTTGCCAGATTTTTAAATTAAATCGTCTTCTCCGTCATCTTCATAATGCTAAAATGTGAAAAAATCAGAAAAATGAGTAAAAAATTCTGAAAATATTCAGGTATCTAAGCTCGTTCTTTCAAGTATGAATTGCGTTAAATTTAGCCAAATAATAAAGCTTGGCTCCCAGAAAATAAATCTCGCTGCACAAAAGGCCCAGTTATAACAGGAATAAAACGTAAACTTATAAGTACAACTAAGTCAGAAAATTATATATTGAACAAACTAGCTATCATATATAAAATCCACAAAACTAACAATTTTTCTTTTGTAGTAGTCAAATATTTCACCAAGTATTTCTCTAGCAATAAGTGGTCCAGCATGCCCCTCGATAAACATGAAGAGAAGAATCTGAAGGGAAAATAAAAATTATTAAAAGGCAAACAGTAAGGAATCTAGTAATGGATTTATTGCTTATGTGGCTTAGTATAAAAGCTGATCAGTCTGCTCGAACAGGGCCTAGATGCTGTAACGTCTAGCCTTCATTATCTCCGTTTAAGTAACGAAAATATTCTATTAAACAGAAGATTCCAACAGAATTCATTATTATTCCTGACAGTTGCTACCTTCGTTGTTCTTTTATTTACTCTTGTGATAATCACGTTATTTTTATTCTTTGCTATACTGTTAGTATTAAGACGTAATATCATATCTGAGGTCTTAATGTCTGAGCTTAATATATTCAAACGTTATTTTACCCCATCCTTGCAAAGCGCCTACTCTGCAAACGACTTGATCAACTTTCGATCTCTTTTCTTTGTTGAATAAACCATGTTTTCGTGTCGATCCTTTAAAATTTAAAGAATTTTATGAATCCAAAAAAATTAAAATTTTTCTTTACTTGTTTGAGCAAATGTCTAACAGAATTTTCTTGTGTACAAGGCAAACAGATAAGTACAAGGAGGTAGTACCAAAAGTTGAAGAAAGTTAGAATTGAGAGAGTAGAAAGCCCCACCTTTAAATTAAGGGAAAATTAAGGGAAACAGTTTAAGATTTTTCTAGTAAGAAGTCAAATTTTCTCAAGTCAATGATTTAATCATATTTGCAGATTTTTTAATCAGCATCCAAAAATAAAGTCCATACACAGGAGAACAAAGTATTAAACAGGAATATTAAAATTATTTATAATCATTTAAATTTTCAATCATATATTTAGCAAAATTGGATCAGTCATTAAGTTCATTCATTTTTGGGTAATCCTGCAGAATCTGGGAGACACCTTAAAAACAACTTAAAAATTATTATTTTTTTGTGAAAATAATTTTATATAGGTAATCGACCATGCTGGTCACGAATCTGAGTTTAGAATTTGTTTATTTCGGACCCCGGACTCGATTTCGACAAAGTCGAAACTCGGGGTAAAAATTCGATATTAAAAATTAAGGGCTAATCTGATACGCGTATTCAAGTTGAGTCGAATGCCTCCGAAATTACCGCGATCTGACTCCATAGGGCCGAGTTACAGACCCCGAAATTTGAAAATTTTTGGGGTCAAAAAGACGAAAATCCAAATAATAGCTCATTCGAGAGAACTCGACGAACTGAGTCGAATGACACCAGAATCAACTAGATTGAATGATTCTGAACAAAGTTATGACCAACGGAATCTTCGGTGGAAAAACTGTAGGCATATACTAAAGCGCCCCCAAATTAAGTATATGATAAAAAATCATAGATAAAATGTCAAATTTGACAAAATCTGATATCAGATTCATCATCAGCATGGTCGATTACCTATATAAAATTATTTTCAGAAAAAAATAATAATTTTTAAGGTGTTTTTAAGGTGTCTCCCAGATTCTGCAGGATTACCCATTTTTGGATGCTGATTAAATCAACAAATACATATACAGGAACTTGTTTAAACACAAAACCCCGAGCGTTTTGTACAAACGTTCCCCAATTCCAAACGATTTAGTTGGACAATTTTGGGGTTTTCTTATTACAACCTTAATTACATCAAGAGACTAAAACGATTCGGGGAAGATAAATGGTGCAAAAATAGGGTATACTATGTATAACAGACATAAACTTAGGATCCAAGACGCTAACATGTTTACCCAACTCCGTTCCCAAAAAAGTTTTTCCAGACTGCTCGGGGGTAACATTCAATTATGACCATTAACTAAATTAAGACAATTAAATTTTAAAAAAGCCAACCAAATAAATAAATAAATCTTTTCGTTGTATGTATTTATTCTCAAATGACATTGAAGTGTATATCTTGGAGTGTCTCCCAACCAGGGATGTCACGGGTTACCCGAAACCCGGCCTTTTTTTCAACCCGATACCCGATCCGAAGAAAATTTTGAAAACCCGATCCGAAACCCGACCCGACATTTTTCTCAACCCGTGACATCCCTGCTCCCAACCGACGTATTGGGACATCACAAAGAGTGAGACGAGGAAATATTGGAGAATCCTTTAAAATTAATTTGAAATGCTTGAATTTAATTTTTAACCAAAATACCTGCCAATTCTCCCCAGCAAGTAAAGCATTTAATACATCAATTCCCCACCATCGGTAGGTACTTCCAATGAAAGAATTGAGAATAAAAAATTGACCCGTGACGTTTAGCAAATAAAGAGCTTTTATAAAGACGTATAACCACTGAAAAAGAGAAGGTAAATAGGAGAAATGGGAAGATTTCTCTTACTGAAACATAAGATCCCATACTTTGGCCAAACCGGCAACCAGCCATTCTTCAACGAAAATAAGCTTGACGATTAAGAATTGCCTGAAATTTTGTAATTATAAAATTTAACTTCGATTTATGATAATCTAGGGGGGAAAATGTAAACAAAAATCAATGCTCTGACTTTCGGGGACTGAACACCAGTGCTGGGTATGACATCGGCTCTAACTCATTAGGCGGGCTCAGGGGCAGGCTCCTACGGAGCCGGAGCTAAGATTTTAAAAGGCAGGAGCCAACAATGCCCAATATCAAACACTGGAGTACCCTAACACCCAGTTAACTAGATGAGGTTTTCTTATTCTTACTAAGGGAACATCCAGGTATGGGTAACCTCAGCAATCTTTTCCTGCAATTCATGAAGCAAAGTTGGCCTTTCTGGATTTGAAAGCTCTAATGTTTTGAGTCGGGATGATTCCTCAATGAATTTTATGAATTCAATACCTTAAATTATTAATTTAGATTTAAGCGTGATGAGGTTTGTAAAATATGGAAAGATTGAAATTTAATATCTTTTATGTTCGTATTTAAATATAGTTTTAGTGTGTGGCTCCAAACGTGCTTCGTAATTTTTTGGAAGCTTATTTATATAAGCTATTTTTAGAATTATTAAACGATTCCAAATTTTCCTAAGATGAATAGTAAATTAAATCATTATAAATTCATATTCAAAAGATCCAATTCAAGTTCACAAGTTAATGTTCAAAATTCATTCTAAGCCTATTAATATATTCGAGAATGTTTTTTACAGAAAATTCCGAATATCAAAAGTATATTAATAAAAATATCCTAACCACTCTGTTGATTGAGTGCATTCCACAACCAATTTGGCAACATAAAAAGCATTGCTTGTAAAAACATCATTATAGGCACCCACTAAAAAAATAAATATCTAAAAATTTGTTCAATCTACATATTGTAGAATTTTAAAAAATAGTGCTTTTAGACTTCCCTTTGAGGGAAAGTAGTTTGAAATTTTTAGAAAGTCAAGAATTCCGGTATATATTGTTTATTGTTTCTGGACCGATTTCGACAAATGATGTTATTCGAAAGAGCCTTGAAAACTGTAGAGTCCCTGTTTTTATGACCGACTTCTTCATTTTTAACTCAATTTTCGGAGCTCTTTTGAATGACATATTATTCATCAAAATCGGTCAAGTAACACAAAACATCCTACATATGTATAATTAAGGTGTTCCTTTAAAAAATATAAAGTATTTTCTTTTTTCTTCTGTTTATGGATATGTTGGATTCATTAATTAATTGTAACAGTACTGTCGGTGTATCATTTTTTGGGAGCTAAACTTCAATTTGGCTAAAAAGTATTGAAGCTTTATAAATCTTTTTTCCCTCAGTGACGTTACGTAGATTTTTCGGACGACCCCTAATGTCGAAATCTTAGGGGTGCTTATAATTATCTGACAGTCCACGTTGTTAGAAAAACATCCCCGCGGTTGGAACAACCTTCCCCATCGACGGAACAACATTCAACATGGTGAGCTTTTATAAGTACATAAAGCGAGTCAACTCAAAAATGGGGATAAGATTGCCGTGGTTATCTGGCCTTGCCTGACGCCCAATATTAAATATTGGAGCTCGGAATTTCATAATCGTTCGGAATTCCATACAGTAATACCGAAACTGAATAGCGATAAATATTGAAAAATACCGTCAATAATGTGCTACCATCAGGATTCTGGTTAATATTAGAGACCGGCACGGGACGGGACCCCGTACGGGATTTTACGGGATCCCGTCCCGGAATCCCGGGTTTTTCGCGGAAAACGGGATTACCGGGATTTACGGGATTAATCCCGCGGGATCCCGTCCCGGTCGAATTTTAAAAACCCAATCCCGTTCCGGGATCCCGGGAATTTTTTTCAAATTTACGGGATTTATAATTACTCCAGTAAACTGCCTGCGGAGCTGAAAAAGGAAGAAATCTGGCTTCTTGGCCGTCCAAAATTCTCAAAATTTTCGCCTGCGGCGCTGAAAAAGGAAGAAATTTGGTGACTTGCTCTTCAAAAATTCTCAAAATTTTCGCCTGCGGCGCTAACAAATGAAAAAAGCTGGCTTCTTAGCCTTCCAAAAAAAGAAAAATTCGAAAAGTTTTGCCTGTGGTGCATGGATTATGAGTAATAAGAATGGATCTTTGGGATTAACAGAGATATAGAGGGATAGAGGGATTGTGAGGTGTACGTTGGCTTGTAAGGTTTAAATCGTCTTAAGTTCAATTCCGGAGGATTAAGAGATATATTTATGATGTTGGGGTATTGGAAAAGGATATCATGGATTTGGGATTAACACCAGATTAAGAGGGATTTGGAGGATAATAGGGGGTATCAGGATTTATATAAGCTATTTTTAGAATTATTAAACGATTCCAAATTTTCCTAAGATGAATAGTAAATTAAATCATTATAAATTCATATTCAAAAGATCCAATTCAAGTTCACAAGTTAATGTTCAAAATTCATTCTAAGCCTATTAATATATTCGAGAATGTTTTTTACAGAAAATTCCGAATATCAAAAGTATATTAATAAAAATATCCTAACCACTCTGTTGATTGAGTGCATTCCACAACCAATTTGGCAACATAAAAAGCATTGCTTGTAAAAACATCATTATAGGCACCCACTAAAAAAATAAATATTTAAATTCAGTCTCCAAAGTTAAGAAAAAACAATGGAGGACAGGAACTTGTTAAATTGAAGTAAAATTTTAGTAAGTAGAGCTTATAAAGGGGGAATATGAAAATCCAAGTTTATTAGATTGATATGGATATAACTACAAAATTTTAGTTGATAATTTATTTGGATCCCTAAATGTTATAGCGGCAGTTGAATTTTCAGTTAATGAAGCTATGTTATAATGTAGAAACTAAACTAATTTTTAGCTAATTGAATAAGCTTACAAAAATTAGACGCTAACAAACAAAGTAATTAGATGGAAAAATAAGCGATTACTCATAAATATTATTGTAAATAAAAATATATATTAAATATAGTTCGTAAAAATTAGACTTTACAATAATTTTTTGGAGTTTTAATGTTTTGCCTTTTTGTTTTGATATGCCTTTAAAGGGCATATCAAAGTTTTAAAGGGGCATATCAAAGCCCCCCCCCTCTATAGAGGGTGTTCTATTTAAACTAGCTTAAATAGTAAGGACTAATATAATTATTAGCTGATTCTAATCAGCTCCCAAAAAATTAACCATTATCAAAGAAGATGAAGCACAAGTTTTGCTAATTAGGTAATTTAAATAAGAAATAGAAATGTAAAAATTCATATGTATTTATCAAAAAATTAAAAACAAACATGGTAATATCCGAGCTGCCTCTCACGCCTTCCTCAGGTGCAACATAATAAGTGTTTTTGGACATACAATAATCGAGGGCATATTCCCGTTCTTCTTCATTAAGCTCTGGACTGCGCTAATAAATTTATTAAATATTTTTTGAGAAATTGAAGTTAACGTGAAAATAAAATTTTTAGAATTTTTAAATTAAATTTAAAAAAAAACCAAGCAACGCATATGTAGTTGTGTAAACTTTAAACATCCATAATTTAACAATAAACATTTTTTAATTTATTTATTGTTCCGTTAATTCTTTTGTTGTTCCTTTTAAAAGTATTAATTAATTTATAAATTTCGAGATAAGAGTTGATCTAACCTCAAATGAAAATGCATCTAAATTTATACAAATTTTTTATTTTTTGTAAGCCAAGCAAAGCTTAGGCTAATTTTGACGATATTTATTAGTTTGTATCTTGGAGCCGTTTTAATCAAATCGATCCCCGAGAAATTGCGATTCTCAATAACCGAGTAGCTTCAGGTTTTGGATTTTTGAAACTTAAAGCAAATTTGCTTCAGGTTTTGAAATTTTTGAAACTTGAAGCAAATTTGCTTCAAGTTTTTTATTTTTGATTTTAGAAGCAATTTTGCTTCAGCTTTTAAAATTTTGATTAGGTAGTTGAATTAGTCCAAACTGAGGGAACACGAGGGTCGAAGGCCCGAAGTCCCAACTGGGAGAAGAAGAGGGCCGACGGCATAATGTGATTCTGATTGGAAGGATGTCCTATCCTAATTGTTATATGAATAGGAAACAATTGAACAAATACCGGAAAAGGGTGAATGTTCAACGAGTACTCATTTAGATAATAAACCGGAATTAGATAATAAACCGGCGCGTGCCGCAAAACCCCGCGCGAAGCGCGGGGTTTTGCACAAGCGCCTCGCCTACGCTCCATAGGTTTACGTTCATCTAAAATTGAGGGCGAGGGCCGAAGGCCCGATCAGACGCCCATCTAAAAGAGAGGGCCGAAGGCCCGAGCTGACACCCATCTAAAAGGGAGGGCGAGGGCCGAAGGCCCGAGCTGACACCCATTTAAAAGAGAGGGCGAGGGCAGAAGCCCGAGTTGAATGAGCTGCGTGAGTGGATGAGCTGCTGCATAGGAAGCCCGGCATGCTTATAGGAATAGGATCATGTTACGAGCCAAGAAGCCAGCGACCTTTGACGACCCGCGAGGCGCGTGCCGCAAAACCCCGCGCGAAGCGCGGGGTTTTGCACAAGCGCCTCGCCAATGCTCCATAGGTTTACGTTACCATTCTTAATCTAAAAGGAGTCGCGAAGGCCGAAGGCCCGAGCTGACACCCATCTAAAAGGAAGTGCGAGGGCCGAAGGCCCGAGCTAACACCCATCTAAAATGAAGGTCGAGGGCCGAAGGCCCGAGTTGACACACATCTAAAAGAGAGGGCGAGGGCCGGAGGCCCGAGCTAACACCCATCTAAAAGGGAGTGCGAGGGCCGAAGGCCCTTCAAGAGGGGATGATTAGGGGAGTCTAATGAGATAAAGGATAATGTCGAAATTTCAAGTTCGGAGTTCGAACTTCGAAATCTGGTATTTTCGGGGTTGGGAAGTATGGGCAAGAGGGTAGTCATTCGAGAGGAGATAATGAGGGGAGTTCAGTGGGATAAGTTATCATGGCTAAAGTCGAAGTTCGAAGTCGAACTTCGAAATCCTGGATTTTCAGGGGTTGGGGATATGGGCAAGTGGGTAGTCTAAATGGAGTCGCGAGGGCCGAAGGCCCGAGCTGACACCCATCTAAAAGGGAGGGCGAGGGCAGGAGGCCCGAGCTAACACCTATCTAAAAGGGAGTGCGAGGGCCGAACGTTAAATATAAAATTAAATAAATATTTAAATACTTAACTTAAAAATTAGAAATAAAAATTTTAGAAAATTTTAACATGGCATTTAAAATCTCTAGCTGCGCGCGAAGCGCGCCCCAAAGCCGATAGGCTTTCCCACGTCCAGAACAAAATTTCAATCCAAAGTATCCTAATAGGCACCCAGCTATCCGCCGCCATCAGTGGTCAAACCCACAGCTAGTTAAATTAAATTTAAAAAAAAACCAAGCAACGCATATGTAGTTGTGTAAACTTTAAACATCCATAATTTAACAATAAACATTTTTTAATTTATTTATTGTTCCGTTAATTCTTTTGTTGTTCCTTTTAAAAGTATTAATTAATTTATAAATTTCGAGATAAGAGTTGATCTAACCTCAAATGAAAATGCATCTAAATTTATACAAATTTTTTATTTTTTGTAAGCCAAGCAAAGCTTAGGCTAATTTTGACGATATTTATTAGTTTGTATCTTGGAGCCGTTTTAATCAAATCGATCCCCGAGAAATTGCGATTCTCAATAACCGAGTAGAGTAGATTAGTCTCCTACATCCTAAACACTGCGCTGCAAAAAATTAAATATGATTTGCAGAACCATGGGAGAAAATGAAAAATTCTATGGATGGGAGATGGAATAGAACAGGGGTGTGCCGTTTCGCCTTTCGTCTTTCGCCTTATTTTCGTCTTTTTTGGTGTTTCGCCTTTCGTCTTTCGCTTTTTAAAATCTGTTTCGGCACACCCTTGGAATAGAACGATCATGAAATGGGTCAGAGTGTGCCACCCACATTTATGATCTGTTTAAATTTATTTTCAGTCAATCTGAACTAGTGTAGCTCCGCATACACTAAACTATCCGACAACCTACAAACAAGTACAGGAACTCTTATAAACTCAATACTTTCCCTGACAGAGAAGAAGAACTGGTATATTTCGAAATAGCAACATTTTAAATAATACTACGGAATTTTTCTGAATTATAGACACATAGAGGAATATAGTTTGATGAACTTTAGTTTTGGTGAAACTACATTTACTAATTTAGGAACCATAAAGCACTGAAAAAAAGAAGTTATCTATGCATTCATAAACAAGATTTTAAATCAATCAGGCAGGCCTTTAGTAAACTAAAAACATTTTTTATCTTTCTGTATATTTTTAACTCCAGAATTTATTTTTCCAAAAAATTTTTATCTCCAAATTAAAAATTACAATATACAGGGTGACAAAAAAGTAACTGCACACTTTTCATTTTTTCATATCTTTTTTTCTCGTTGAAATTTTTTTTTAATTTTTATACTCATTTTGTAGCCAATTAAATTCTCTTTCAGGGCATATAGGAACTGTTTCATTATTGAACCTTTTTCCAGAAGATTTAGCGTTCGCAAAATTTCAACTCTTCCCAAAGTTCAAAAAAGCACTGACCAAAAAATTTTAAAAAATTCCGGTATGAAATTTTCTGGAAAAATTTTTTCTAAAACTTATTTAGTGAAGTAGGCATGAATGTTGACTTTATTAAAAGTGTAAAAATTCGATCAGTAAGTCTCTTGAGAACGTGAGCACGGTCAAATTCCGAGTATACCCCAATCCATGGGTTTCACTGAGATAAAGCGCCACGAAAACTGTTTTGCCGAGAGAATAGATTCGTTTTATCGCTTATAATGAACTACGACTCGTGCCTCATAATCTCAGAAAACTTCAACTTTTTATCAAATAAATTAAAAAAGTTAGGACCCAGAGATGCAAGTACAAAAACTCCTCTTTCTAATGCACTTGTTAGCTATTCACATCACCCCTCTTCCGTAATGATATGGGCTATTATTTGCATAAAGGTCAATATTCCTGGATTTTCGTGAATCCTGGTGTCAAAATAAGTGAAAACTATTATCCACAGGAAATCACTAAGGATATTTTGCAGCCGTGGGTCCATTGCTACTTTTTGCATAGGGATTGAATCTTTCAGCAGGATTCATCCTCTGTTCATATGGCAAAAGGTTTGCAGGTTTGTTGCGGAGACAATTTGCGCAGTTGTAATACGTCTCAAGTATGACTACCGTACTCACCGGATTTAAGTCCGATGAATTAATCTTTTAGGTATTTTGGAGGGAAGGGTCTGCTCTTAATAACGCAAAAGTTTTGAGTCGTTTCGATAATCACTTGTTCGGGAATCGAGAGAAATCTCGCCTGAGTATGTGCGAACTTTTGCCTAGAATTTCTCCACGCGCCTTCGACTCTATATACAGGCAAAGGGTGGGTACTTCAAAGATTCTTGATTAGATTTGTTCCTTATTTAATTCTCTATTATTTAAGCTTTGTTTGATCTCATTATCGTAAAAATGAATAAAGTTATCTCAAAAATAGTGAGTGCAGTTACTTTCTTGTCACCCTGTATTAAGTGAAAATAAAATTTAATCGAGGAATACAATTTTCAAAAATATATTTAAATTGTTTTTAAAAATTGAGAGAGTATTTTAATGCAGGCTTTCTAATTCAATTTCATTCATAATTCAATTTGGCCGGAAAAATTTTAGTTTCATTAATTTATAAAGATGGCTTAGGATTATTAGCTTATGCGCAGCACTGATATTTTAACAAAAATGGAAGTGAATAGCAAAATAAATGAGGATTTAAATTAAGTGGAATTTCTCTATATATAACGTTTGGTTGAATTTATCCAATAAAGGTGAGTAACATAACATAAGAAGGAAATTGGGCAAAACACATCTCTCGATCCGAAAGAAGGAATAGAGAAGTGGTATGAAATTAAAGAAACGTTCAATTGATATTTTTAATTCAATTGATATTTAATAATTAATATAATTAACACTATTTAGCAAAAAAAGTATATTACATAGACAAATTAAATTTCCTTTCAATTTATTTTTTAGTTTTAAAGATTTTGGCCTAAATATTCTCTTTTTTTACCTTCTTTAGTCACATAATACATTTAAAAAATTCCAGAATAACCAAAACTCAGGAAAACATTTCAAACCTCCTTTACAAGTGCTTTACCATAATAATTTCCTGCAGGCCCAGTTGGGTTTGTAAAAGGAGTAGCTAATATAGGCAATCGTTGATTTCTGTAATAATTATCATTCATTCCGTTATTTCCTCCAAAACCGAAAAGAAAACGAAAGAAACGGGAAAATATATTCCTTCCACCTCCAGGATTTTCGTTGTTATTGTTTTCACGTCGAATGCTGCGTCTATGGCCTTAAGTTAAAAAAATAGAATATTAAAGTTAGAAATTTTAATTTGGTCAAAAAAGCGATCAGGGACTGATGCGAAACACAAATAAAATAAATGAGACACACTGTAGCCGAGGTATACCTTATTGCAAAAATGAAAGATGTCTTAAAAGATACTTATAAGATAAATTTTTATAAACATTTATTAGCCAAGGTTGACCGGCTTACAAAAATACGAAAAACGACTACCAACAAACATGCCATATATTTCAACTACATATCATATGGATCAATTAACGCAAAATTATATATTGTTTAAATTCGTACCACTATTATAAAAATTAGGAGGTCGTCGTTCATCTGCCACATTTCCATACCTAGCTCTAGCTGAATTTCCTCCTCCCTTCCTTCTAGGTGTTGAAGAATATAAATGTGAAGTTTCTGTTGTATTTGTATCTACACCTCCCTCTACAGTTGTTGGTAATAATTCCCTTTCTTGTGATGAGGAGGAAAGGCTTGTAGCCTCTCCCAAAGGCAATTTTGGAGGGGCTGTAGGAGAAGGAATACCTTAAGAATAAATAAATTAGAAAGGGCTAGAATATGTATTTATCAGAAAGCCGAAAATAGTTTTTAAATGCAAGGGAAGGATAGCTTTTTTCCATATCCAAATAAAGAGCAAAAATATAGGTGAAAAAAATATACATATATCCAACAGCCACTAGACAGGGAGGAACTCTAAAAATATTGGCCGTGGTCAAGATTATGCGTACAATAAAAGCTTGTGAGACCAAATAGAAGTTTACTGGATGCGCAAACGAGACCAGTACCAAAACATTATGCCATAAAACCCAAAACTTCTTAACAAATTCTAGAAGTTAAACAAACTATCTTATTGCCAAAGCGTTGCTTGGCATACAAAAAAATTTATTCAAAAATATTCTCGTACATTGCCTAATCTTAATCAATCCCTTAATTTAGCGTTAAATAAGATAGATTCTAATATGGTGTAATCCTTTTAGTCCTTTTTCAAGTGCGTTAGATGTTAACATTACGTATCTTCCTTATTTTCTAGAAAATGCAATTTGGATTCAGTAGATAAACAAAGACGAGAAAATGTTGGACGCGAACTTTTGTTTCTAAACTAATCGAAAATTAATCTCACGCTATCCGACATACTCCTAATTATGGGAAATAAAACTCAAAAAATTGATTTACTCTAATTATAGTAATATTTTTCAGTTCGAATCGGGTACTTTATAGCGAGATAAATCCAATTAAATAATTTGTTTCTCCAACCTCCATTATTTCCAAATCTGTGAGTTAAAGCAGCCTTTCCCCCGCCATAAAACTCTTCATCGTCCTCTCCTTCTTCAACATAATCGTCTTCCATCGAACCAGTACTTTGTGAAGAGAAGGAACTTTTGCCAGATTTTTTAATTAAATCGTCTTCTCCGTCATCTTCATAATGCTAAAATGTGAAAAAATCAGAAAAATGAGTAAAAAATTCTGAAAATATTCAGGTATCTAAGCTCGTTCTTTCAAGTATCAATTGCGTTAAATTTAGCCAAATAATAAAGCTTGGCTCCCAAAAAATAAATCCCGCTACACAAAAGGCCCGGTTATAACAGGAATAAAACGTAAACTTATAAGTACAACTAAGTCAGAAAATTATATATTGAACAAACTAGCTATCATATATAAAATCCACAAAACTGACCATTTTTCATTTGTAGTAGTCAAATATGTATTTCACCAAGTATTTCTCGGGCAATAAGTGGTCCTCGATAAACCAGAAGAATTAGAAGTCGAATATTCCCAAGCAAGGATCCATTGATATTTTGCTGATTTAATCAGCATCCAAAAATAAAAATTATCAACAACAAAAGACTCAAAGGCTATTATTAAATTCGCATATTAAAATTATATATAATTATTTGAATTTTCAATCATATATTAAGCAAAATTGAAAGTCTTAAAGTTCAGTATGACCATATTTATTTTTGGATGCTAATCAAAATAATAAATTCGCAAGCTAAAATAAGCCTATGTTACTGCGAACAAAACCGAGCAACCGCTGACTCCCACAAGCCGCGTGTCACAAAACCCCGAGCGTTTTGATTGGGGAAAATATATGTTTGGGGAAGATAAAGATGTTGTAAAAAGTATATATCATTATGGCATAAACTTAGGATCCAAGAACCCAATATGTTTACCCGACTACGTTCCCAAAGTTAGTTCCAGACTGGTCGGAGGTAACTCTCAATTAAGACGATTATAGCGCTTAAAATGATTAAACTTTAAAAAAGCCCACCAAATAAATAAATAAATCTTTTCGTTGTATGTATTTATTCTCAAATGACATTGAAGTGTATATCTTGGAGTGTCTCCCAACCGACGTATTGGAACATCACAAAGAGTAAGACGAGGAAATATTGGAGAATCCTTTAAAAATAGTCAGTAAAGCTTGAATTTTATTTTTAACCAAAATACCTGCCAATTCTCCCCAGCAAGTAAAGCATTTAATACATCAATTCCCCACCATCGGTAGGTACTTCCAATGAAAGAATTGAGAATAAAAAATTGACCCGTGACGTTTAGCAAATAAAGAGCTTTTATAAAGACGTATAACCACTGAAAATAAGAGATGGTAAATAGGGAAAATAAATAGGGAAAATTACTGAGACATAAGATCCCATATTTTGGCCAAACCGACAACCAGCCATTCTTCGACGAAAATAAGCTTGACGATTAAGAATTGCCTGAAATTTTGTAATAAAAAAATAAACTCGATTCATGCTAATCTAAGAAGAAAAAATATAACACAAAAGTCTTAATTTCGAGACTGGACACCTTTGCTGGGTATGATTCCGGGAGGCTAGCTCCGGAGGCGGGATCCGACAGAGAAAGAGCTAAAATTTTAAAAGCCCGGAGCCAACAGATGACCAATAACTAGGAATGGAGTACCCCAGCATCCTGTTAACTAGATGGGGTTTTCTTATTTTTACTAAGGGAACATCCAGCTACGGCAACATACACACAATCTAACATTCAGAAAGGTCACTCTACAAATCTAAAATATTTCAGCAATTTTTTCCTGTAATTCATGAAGCAAAGTTGGCCTTTCTGGATTTGAAAGCTCTAATGTTTTGAGTCGGGATGATTCTTGAATGAATTTAATGAATTCAATACCTAAAATTATTAATTTAGATAAGGTTTGCATAATATGGAAAGTTTCAAATGTAATTTCTTTTATGTTGGTTTTTGCTATAATTTAAGTGGATTATTACGTTTAATTTGTTAATTTTTGGAAGCTTATTTAAATAAGCTATTTTTAGATAAATAGTAAAATCAGGGTGGCCCTTTTACCCTATTTATAGAGGATTTTCCCTATTTCTGACCTTTTCGCCCTATTTTTTCCCTATTTTCTCATTTGCCATATTTTTGCCCTATTTTTGCCCTTTTGTAAAATTTTAAAAATTCTTAGGATTTTGTAAAATAAATGGTAAAAATAAAGGATTTCTGACTTCCTGGCCTCCCAAAATCCTCAAAATTTTCGCCAGCGGCGCTAAGAATGGAAGAAATTTGACTTCTTGGTCTTCCGAAAGTCTCAAAATTTTCGCCTTATTTGAAGATCTAAAGCTATGCCCTAATTTTTGCCCTATTTTTGAGTGGCTGCGCCCTATTTAAGTGCTTTGGAAGGGGCCACCCTGAGTAAAATAATTAATATGACGCAAATCTTTTTTCAGAAAATTCCGAATACTAAATAGTATATTAATAAAAAAACTCCCAACCACTCTGTTGATTGAGTGCATTCCACAACCAATTTGGTAACATAAAAAGCATTGCATGTAAAAACATCATTATAGGCACCCACCAGGAAAAATAAATAATTAAATTCAGTCTCCAAAGTTAAGAAAAAACAATAAAGGACAGAATTTGTTTAATTTGTACTAGAATTTTAGTAAGTAGAGCTTATAGAGGGATTCGTCAGTGGACAATCTGTCAGTGAACAAATTAGTAATTCCTACACATACCCAAAATATCGCGGCCAAAACTTTTCATTTTATCGTGTGGGGGATTATAAGAGATATATATAAGACTACAAATCTATAAGACTACAAATATAAGACTACAAATCTCTTATATTCCCCTTAATCCTACTTTATCTTTAAAATCCCCGATGACTCCCAAATCCACTGATATCATTTTAATCCAGCTAAATCTGCCGAGTTCCTCATTAATCTCCAAATTTTCGATATCTCTTATAAACCTCCAGACGCTGAAATGAAAATCTTTGGCCCCGGTAGTCGGGTATGGTTAGGAAGGTTCCGTGACTTTTGCGCCGAGAACATTTGCGCCGCGACTTATGCGCCGCGACTTTTGCGCCGCGACATATGCGCCGAGTGACTTTTGCGCCGGGGAACCTTTGCGCCGCGACTTTTGCGCCGGGCGACTTTTGCGCCGCCACTATCATTAAAAATATATCAATAAGTACAGCCGGATCTCACTTTAGTAGGGTTGTCGGATAGTTGGAAATCTTCGGATATCAGGATCCGATATCTGAACTGAAAATTTCGGATATCCGGCATTTTTCGGATCCGGATTTTTTAAACAATGGCGGCGCAAATGTCGCGGCGCATAAATCGCCCGGCGCAAAAGTCGCGGCGCAAGAGTCGCGGCGCAAAAGTCGCCCGGCGCAAAAGTCGCGGCGCATAAGTCGCGGCGCAAATGTTCTCGGCGCAAAAGTCGTGATACCGTTAGGAATTACGAATTTGTTCACTGACGGATTGTCTACTGACTCGATGTCCGACCACTGACACATTGTCCACTGACGGATTGTCCGGGAGCCATCCCAGCTGCCTCTCACGCCTTTCCTTGTTAGACCAAGGTATTCCTTCCTCGGGTGCAACATATAAGTGTTTTTGGACATACAATAATCGAGGGCATATTCTCTTTCTTCTTCGTTAAGCTCTGGACTGCGCTTATAAATTTATTGAATATATTGTGAGAATTGAAGTTAACGTGAAAATAAAATTTTCAGAATTTTTAAATTAAATTTTAAAAAATACCAAGCAACGCACAGTTGTGTAAACTTTAAACATCCATAAGTTAACAATAAACATCTTTTAATTTATTTATTGTTTCGTTGATTCTTTTGTTGTTCCTTTTAAAAGTATTAATTAATTTATAAATTTCGAGATAAGAGTTGATCTAACTTCAAACGAAAATGCATCTAAATTTATACAAATTTTTTATTTTTTGTAAGCCAAGCAAAGCTTAGGCTAATTTTGACGTATTTATGAGTCTGTATCTTGCAGCCGTTTTAATCAAATCGATCACCGAGAAATTGCAATTCTCTGTAACCGAGTAAAATAGTCTCTGACATCCTGAACACTTCACTGCAAAAAATTAAATATGATTAGCAGAACCACGGGAGAAAATGAAAAATTCTATGGATGGGAGATGGAATAGAACAATCATAAAATGGGTCAGAGTGTGCCACCCACATTTATGATCTGTTTAAATTTATTTCAGCCAATCTGAACTAGTGTAGCTCCGCATACACTAAACCACCCGACAACCTCCGAACAAGTACTGTAACTCTTAAAATCAAACTGTTACTGACAGGGAGGAGGAGAAATGGTATATTTTGAAATATCAACATTTTAAATACATATTACAGAATTTTTCTGAATTATAAACACATGGAGGAATGAAGCTTAATCAAATTGACTAAACTTTGTAATTTAATAATTTAGGAACCAATAAGCACTGAATAATCGGGGATTGGATCCCCGATCTAATTCAGTTATTTGATTTGGATTTGGAGTTCATTCATTTTTTTAACAATTCTTTATTTTTGGATGCTGATAAAATCAGCAAATATGATTAAGGGCACATTTTGATTAACACCGCGCCCCAATTTGATGGCTTAAATGTTAGCCATATCTTTTAACTTTGATTCAGAAAGTGTACTAAGATACACCAAATGGAAATGTAGACTGATATATAATTAACCCACTCCATTATTTCCAAATCTGTGAGTTAAAGCAGCCTTTCCTCCGCCATAATAATCTTCATCATTCTCTCCTTCTTCAACATAATCGTCCTCAATTGAACCAGTACTTTGTGAAGAGAAAGAACTTTTGCCAGATTTTTTAATTAAATCGTCTTCTCCGTCATCTTCGTAATGCCAAAATCTGAAAATCAGAAAAATCCTATATTAAATTTGAGAATTTCTGTCTGTCTGTTTGTTTGCCGCAGCTTTGAATTTCGCTGTGTTTGGCGTTGTGTTTATTTTTTAATTAAAAATGACAAAATATCCCAAAATTAAAAATAGTGTGTGTTTAGAGAAGTAAAGAAAGAATGTGAATTTTTTAGAATTTGTTTTGTGTTTTTTCGGTGGAACTTTTTTATTTTTTTGTTTGTACAGGGTGCGGCATAAGTAATTGCACACTTTTAAATTTCTTATAACTTTTTTTGTTGTCAATATTTTTAATCGGTTTAAGGCTTATTTTAAAGCTTGTTTAATTCTCTATTATGGCTAGTCAACGTGATTCTATAATCTCACATTTTTTGCAAAAAAATTCAGTCCGTAAAATTTCATCTCTCTTGGATGTCCAAAAAAGCACTGTACAACGTACAATCAAAAAATTCTGGTGAAAATTTTTTGTGAGAAAATTTTTTTGAAATTTATTTAGTAATGATGGCACAACTAAGAACTTACAAAAAAGTGGAAGACCTAGTTCCGTCAGCACTTCCAAGAATATTAAAATGATCAAAATTTGGGTGTATCGCAATTTTCGACTCTCCATGAGAAAAGTCGCTCGTAAAACCGGAATAAGTGAGAGAACCGTCAGACGAATAGCTAAAAATAAACTAGGGTTAATACCCTACAAAATCCAAAAAGCACAACTGCTAACAGAAAAAACAAAAAAAGTTAGGCTTGCAGGATGCAAACTGCTCCTTCAGTGGCACGCATGTCCGGACATTCCCTTCTCAGACGAAAAAATTTTTACAATAAAAATTCGTACACAACCATCAAAATTATAGAATCTGGACTACAGAATCTCCTCTTTCCGATGGGCTTATCACTCATTTCCAACATCCCCAATCTGTCATGGTTTAGGCCGGTATTTGCGCGTCAGTCAAAAAACCCCTTATTTTCGTGAATCCTGGGGTAAAAGTCAACAAAGACTATTACTTGCGAGAATTTTTTCAGCGTGTTCTGAAGCCTCGGTTCAAGAGCCATTTCGGTCGCAGAGTCTAGATTTTCCAACAGGACTCTGCTCCGGCACACAAGGCGAAAGAAGTTCAGGACTGGTGCAAGGCCAATTTTCCTGGGTTCATTAGCGCTCAGGAATAGCCGCCATACTCCCCGGATTTGAATCCGATGGATTATTCTTTTTGGTCTATTTTGGAGTCCAGGACCTGTGCTATGCCTCATAAAAGTTTGGAGTCTCTGCGCCACTCACTCACCCGAGAGTGAGACTTAATTACACACAAGGAGGTGCGTGCTATTTGCGAAATTTTTTCTTCGCGCCTTCGCCTCTGTATCAAAGCCAAGGGTGGGCATTTCGAAAATGCCTGATTATTATTGTTCCCTATTTAATTCTCTATCATTTGATTGTATTTCGATTTTATTTTATTGTGTTTTAATAAAGTTATGAGGGAAAACATGTGTGCAATTACTTATGCCGCACCCTGTAATTGTATTTAAGATGTGTTTTGATTGATTTTTTGTTTTGTTTTTTAAAAGGTGTTTTATTTGGAAATTGTTTTTAGATTCAAAAACAAAGCGATCATTTATTTAACAAAGTTAGTGTCCAACAGTTTGTTTTTCAGTGCTGATCTTTTATTTAAACAACGCGAGTGTCCAACAGTTTGTTTTATTGTGAGGTTTTAATTGGGTGAAATAGGTCTGGTAATAGTTGGTATAATGGTGGTCGGAAAGGTCCCGAAAATGGGTGAAAAGAATATGGCGATGGTTGTAATAATGGTAAGCGAAAATGGTCCCGTAACTGGGTGAAATGGGTCTGGCAATGGTCGGAATAACGGTGAGCAAAAAGGGTCCCATAAATGGGTGAAAAGGGTCTGGAAATGGTTGAAATAATGGTGAGCAAAAAGGGTCCCGTAAATGGGCGAAAAGGGTCTAGAAATGGTTGAAAATAATGGTAAGCGAAAACGGTCCTGTAACTGGGTGAAAAGGGTCTGGAGATGGTTGAAATAATGGTAAGCGAAAATGGTCCTGTAACTAGGTGAAAAGGGTCTGACAATGGTCGGAATAACGGTGAGCAAAAAGGGTCCCATAAATGGGCGAAAAGGGTCTGGAAATGGTTGAAATAATGGTGAGCAAAAAGGGTCCCGTAAATGGGCGAAAAGGGTAATGACTGAGATATAAGAGTGAAAATGTTAAGTGACAAGGGTTGTTAATAGCTTATAGTTAGTGTTGTTAATAGTTGATAGTAATAGTTTAAAATTAATATTTGAAGGGTGGTTAATAGTTCATAGTTGTAAATTAATTCTTGAAAGATGGTTAATATTTGTATATTAATATTTGAAAGTAGGTTAATAGTTAATAGTTGAAATAGATATTAATAGTTGATTGTGAAAATTGAAAGTTTTAATTAATAGTTTAATCACTGTTAATAGATAATAGTTGAAAATTGATAGTTAATAGTTGACATAGATATTGATAATTGAAAGTTAAAAATCTTAGTTAATAGTCGAATCATTGCTAATAGTTAATAGTGAAAATTGATAGTTAATAGTAGACATAGATGTTAATAGTTCAAAATTGAAAGTCTTAGTTAATAGTTGAATTATTGTAATAGTTAATAGTTAAAAATTGATAGTTAATAGTAGACATAGATATTAATAGTTAATAGTTGGAAGTTGAAAGTCTAAGTTAATAGTTGAATTAAAGTTAATAGTTGACGAGTGAGTTTTATGTATGAGGTGTTTTAATTTAAGCTTATGTAATGTTTAGAATTTAGCTAGCGGAAGGGGCTCGCCCGAAGGGCGACCCCCTCCGCTAGTGAGTAAAAATTTTGGAATTCTTCGGGTCTTTCAAGCTTTTTCTTTAAGTATGAATTCTCTTAAATTTAGCCAAAGCAATAAAGCTTGACTCACAAAAAATAAATCTTGCTACAAGAGGCCATGATCTAACTTAAATAAAACATAAACTTATATTTACAACCAAATCGGAAAATTATATATTGAACAAAAATCAAAAAAACTAACCATTTTTCCCTTGTAGTAGTCAAATATTTCTCCAAGTATTTCTCTAGCAATAAGTGGTCCAGCATGCCCCTCGATAAACCAAAAGAGAAGAATCTGAAGGGAAAATAAAAATATTAAGGAACGAAAAGTAAGGAACTAGTAATGAATTTCAAAAATTATTTTACCACATCCTTGCAAAGCGCCTCCTATGCAAACGACTTGATCAACTTTCGATCCCTTTTCTTTGTTGAATAAACCATGTTTTCGTG